GCACTAAGCTTTGGCATCGGTTTCTTCATGTGTCACTATGGTTGTGCCCACCTCCCTGCTCGGTTGGGCCATCAAGGAGAAGTCGTGCCTGCTCATCATGAAAAGATTGTACTCCCCATATGGCTATGGCCCTCTGCGGCACACGTCCGTAAAGGTCACTGTCACACTGTCCTTGTTGCAGGCTACGTGTTTGCATGTATTTTGTAGCCAAAAATTATAACGGACATGTTTCAATGGACTTTGCAGGGTGGAAAGCATGCCTTCATCTAATTGCATCCCCCTTCCTTGAATTCAACTGGTGGGCCTGCCCTCCCTTAATTAGACCACAACCAATCATCTCTATAACCACCCCCTAAACATCCCGGGAGTGTAACATTACTGTTTTGTAGCAGCAACCGCAACCGTAGTAGATTCCGAAGTTTGGGCTGACCACAAAGACAAGCAGGAATACAATGCCCTTGCGACGGCTCGGCCGTAAGCGCAGTCGTTGGCTGAAAGAAAGTGGAACGGTAGTTTTTCAATGTGTTCATATATGAAAGATAAATTAGGGCATTTAGCAAGAGAATGAGACGTGAAAGAAATTATGAAATAATCCTTTTTCGTATACGAGCCTAACCAAGTGCCTAACCTATTGTGGGGAGTACTTGCCGATGTGGCATATACTGCTGTTGTAGTTGGTAGATGCAATGGCTAGAATACCGGCAAGAACAATGAGGAAGATGCTTCTTGGGCTCGGCATTGTCGCCACCCTTTGCTTATTTTTTGGTGATTTGTGAGGGCTCTTGGTGTGCTTCCACATTTTAGATGGACAGAAATATAGGGGAGTGAACTAGAGGCACTATAGCACGCACACATATTCTAGCATGACACTGAATGTAAAAGGCCAAAACACACTAAAGTTGCTCCTGATAGTCTCTCCTGTTTCATTTTTGCAAGTAAATTGTATTCTTTAAAGTGTATTTGTATAATGTTGTAAGTAGAAGGTATAACTTTGCAGGACACATGTGTCTATTTTTGCCATGACTTTATTGAAGGGTCTAGACAGAGGGCATGTTTGGTTAGCATACTAAGCTTTTCGCCTTTTACCACGTCACAAGTCAGGCAAGCTTGATTGGTTCAACCCCTGTTTGGTTTGAAGTTACATTGTGCCAAGATTCTTTCCACGCGAACTATACCTCACATGTCACCGGCTCATAAAAAGTGTGGCAAATCTATCACAAATGCGGCGTCGATTTCGACCGCCTAACCTTAAGCAAGTGTGGCAAAAAGGTATACCAAACAACGCCAAAATTTGTTAATTCTACAAGGATTTCACATGAACCTTGTAGGTGAAAAGTTCAGGCAGAACGGCCTTCAACATCAGTGCGTCCCAACTACAGTAGTAGAAGCGCAAAACAACGACGGGTCGACAGCAGACGCGCACAGCCAGCCAGGCCGCGGGCGCAGCGCACGCCGCTGTCTGTCTCCCACCCTTCTAAACCCCCCTCCCCCTCCGCCGCCGCCGCCGCCGCCGGCAATGGAGGGTCTCCACAACCTGCTCGCGCGCCCCAACTCCGCGCCGCTCGCCTTCTCCCCCCCGCGCCCGCGCCCGCGCCGCAGGCCGCCCGTCGCCTGCCGCGCCGCGAGCCGCTGGGCCGACCGCCTCTTCGCCGACTTCCACCTCCTCCCCACCGCCGCCGCGCCCGAGCCGCCGGCCGCGGCCCCCGCCGGCGTCTCCGCGTCCCCCTGCGTCCCGCTCTTCCCCGACGCCGCCGACCGCTCCCTTCCCCTCCAGGTCGACTTCTACAAGGTTAGACCCGTACAGCATTACTTCACGGGCATCTCGTGTGATTTAACTGAACCTAGTAACACACATCTGATACTGATAAATAAAGATGTATCGGTCTTGAAACGTGATGGTAATTTGTCGCAGAAACGCCGTATCATCCAGCATTGTGCCTGGAATTTCCATTTTAAAGACTTCTCTCTAGGTTATCGTCTCCCTCGATCCCATAAAAAGCATGACCCATTTTTACCTGATAAATTAACTAGGGGTGGAATGAAATTACTGCAACATTTAATTGGCTTGGGAAATGATTGGTTCGCTTGCTCTGCTCAGGTTCTCGGCGCGGAACCGCATTTCCTCAGCGACGGCGTCAGGCGGGCCTTCGAGGCGAGGGCGGCCAAGCCACCGCAGTACGGCTACAACACAGATACCCTTGTTGGCCGTCGGCAAATACTGCAGCTTGCACATGATACTCTCACAAACCAGAGCTCCCGCACCGAGTATGACCGCGCGCTCTCTGAGGACCGTGGCATGGCGCTCACATTGGATGTTGCTTGGGACAAGGTGAGGCTGTAGGGGCAGTAAATAGTGCACTTGGATCTTGCAGGATTTCAGATAGCATTAGCATATAATTGGTCTCCGCTTAAACTGGGTATCTTGCCAATCAGGTTCCGGGTGTGCTGTGTGCCCTTCAGGAGGCTGGGGAGGCACAGGCAGTGCTCGCAATTGGAGAGCACTTGCTGCAGGACCGCCCGCCCAAGCAGTTCAAACAGGATGTGGTGCTGGCAATGGCTCTGGCCTATGTGGATCTATCAAGGGACGCAATGGCGGCTAGCCCACCAGACGTAATCCGCTGCTGTGAGGTGCTTGAAAGGGCTCTCAAGCTCTTGCAGGTTAGCTGTTTTCACCACCAAACAGCATTGCAGATTTAACATGTTTATGATGGTGGCTTTACACAAACATCTACTCCCTCTGTAAAGAAAATACAAGAGCGTTTAGATCACACTATTATAGTGATCTAAACGCTCTTATATTTCTTTACGGAGGGAGCATTTATTAATCCCAGTGAACATAATTTTCTTCTTTTACTGCTGTTTATACTATGTAGTCTAGATTGATCTAATTGCTGTTAATGCTAGTATCAATTCTGATTTTATTTGGCTATAAGTAAGTCCCCTTATGGTAAACATAAGATGCAGCACCTTTCCTTTTAGTATTTCCGTATGTGATTTCTTTTAGTTAGGATTTATCAAACATCTGCTTCCATGTCTTCCAGAAGAGCAGGGAGAGATCCTACTAATAGGTTTGTATAAGTAGTATAATAAAATGTGCAAGTCTAACTATACAAGATAAAAGTATAAAAGGGAGACTCAATAAAACAATGGTCTTTACATTTTACATTTTCACTGGGACGATATTGGAATTGGTTAGATTTAGATAAATATGTGAAAACCAGCATGAAATGCATGTGATGTATGTTGCTAAGAAAGATCTTCTGGAAGCAGTACTAAGATGTATGTTATCCTTTAGGAGGATGGGGCAATCAATCTCGCACCTGATCTGCTTTCACAAATTGATGAAACTCTGGAGGAGATCACACCTCGTTGTGTTTTGGAGCTTCTTGCCCTTCCTCTTGATGAAAAGCACCAGAGTAAACGCCAAGAAGGTCTTCGTGGTGTGAGAAACATTTTGTGGAGTGTTGGTAGAGGAGGTATTGCTACTGTTGGAGGAGGATTTTCGCGTGAAGCCTACATGAATGAGGCCTTTTTGCAGATGACATCAGCGGAGCAGGTTTGTAATTATCACCAGTTTTCATGAGGCAGTAGCCTTTTCATGTTTCTGTAGCACATGTTTCGAGAATGTGTTGATTCATTTGTATTACAAATCACAGATGGATTTCTTTTCAAAAACGCCAAATAGCATACCACCTGAATGGTTTGAAATCTATAGTGTGGCACTCGCAAATGTTGCTCAAGCAATTGTAAGTAAAAGGCCAGAGCTCATCATGGTGGCAGATGATCTTTTCGAACAGCTCCAGAAGTTCAATATAGGTTCTCAATATGCTTATGATAATGAATTGGATCTTGTGTTGGAAAGGGCACTTTGCTCATTGCTTGTGGGAGACATTAGCAACTGCAGAATTTGGCTTGCGATTGATAATGAATCCTCACCACATAGAGACCCCAAAATTGTAGAGTTTATTGTGAACAACTCTAGCATTGACCACCAGGAGAATGATCTTCTTCCAGGCCTGTGTAAGCTTTTGGAGACTTGGCTTGTCTCAGAGGTTTTCCCTAGGAGCAGAGATACTCGAGGCATGCAGTTTACACTTGGAGACTACTACGATGATCCACAAGTTTTAAGCTACCTAGAAATGATGGAAGGTGGTGGTGCTTCTCATTTGGCTGCTGCTGCTGCTATAGCAAAACTCGGTGCTCAAGCTACAGCTGCGCTTGGTACCGTGAAATCAAGTGCTATCCAAGCATTCAACAAGATTTTTCCATTGATAGAACAGCTAGATCGATCAGACATGGAGAATCCTAATGATGGCCCTGAGGAATCTGTCAATAAATTTGACCAGAAAACTATTATGGGATTTGATATCCGTGATTCCAAAAATGCTGCCCTGAAGATTGTCTCTGCCAGTGCATTATTTGCTCTGATGACAGTAATAGGCATGAAGTACTTGCCTCGTAACAAGGTGCTCCCTGCTATTAGAAGCGAGCATAAGTCCATGACAGTTGCTAATGTTGTTGACTCAGTTGATGGTAAGTAGACACTCCTTTACTTTCCAACTACTCCCTCCGTTCCTAAATATTTGTCTTTTTAGAGATTTCAACAAGTGACTACATACGGAGCAAAATGAGTGAATCTACACTCTAAAATATGTCTATATACATCTGTATGTGGTAGTCCATTTGAAATCTCAAAAAGACATATTTAGGAACGGAGGGAGTAGTAAAAAAGGGAAGAAAAAAAAAACTCTGCTCATGTGTTACTACTGGTCATGCTTGATGTCTAATGACATTACATTTTTGAGATTGTAGCTTTGGGTTGACGTTTTCAACAAAGCTGTGTACCAAATGTTTGATCCATATACAAATTTGTTTCTGAAATCATAGTGCTTATATAGTATTAATTATATATTTATTTATTGAAGATGATGCACCAGATGAGCCAATACAGATTCCTAGAATGGATGCGAATCTGGCAGAAGGTATTGTTCGCAAGTGGCAGAGTATCAAATCCAAGGCCTTGGGATCAGATCATTCTTTGGAATCATTGCAAGAGGTGAGGTTCAAAACTTTGGCTGGCTGGCCTCTGTTGCTGGTCCTGTGTTTCCACTGACAAGATACCTTATGCAACCGGAGACACTTCAGATAGTCATATAGGTTACACTGTTCATAAGTATCTTGAGTGATAGTAATCCTGTCACAGCATAATTTCTCGAGAGTTATTTCCACTGCCAACATATCGCCCTTACAACAGTAACTGAAAACTGGTATTTCCATGTTTCCCACAGGTTCTTGATGGCAACATGCTGAAGGTATGGAGGGACCGAGCAGCAGAGATCGAGCGCAAAGGCTGGTTCTGGGACTACACGCTGTCCGACGTGGCGATTGACAGCATCACCGTCTCCCTGGACGGACGACGGGCGACTGTGGAGGCGACAATTGAGGAGGCAGGCCAGCTTACCGATGCAACCGACCCCAGGAACAACGATTTGTACGACACTAAGTACACCACCCGGTACGAGATGACCTTCACTGGACCAGGAGGGTGGAAGATAACAGAAGGTGCGGTCCTCAAGTCGTCATAGGGCGTTCGGTGTGCAGTAGACCTTTGTTGATTGATTCCTCCCGTGTTCTTTTTGGTGTGTAAATAAGCAGTCTAGGCCCTTCTCAGTTTGGAAGTTGGAGATAGTTTGGTTAGTCTGATGTGCAATCAGCGATGAGCTTTGTTTTTCCCTGTGTCGTTTTCGGATTATTGCTAGCTTAGAAGATCTTTGAGTTGGGGATAAGAGAAACATAGTGCTGAATTTGCCGCTGAAATTGTCTTTTTGATCATTCACAAAACCCCTACAAAAAAATAGGGGAATGTTATTGTGCTGACCTTCCTTGGGAAGGCATGGCAAATCACAAGGTTTTTTATGGCAAATTTAGTTGCCACGAGGATGACAAACTTAGTTAGTAAGCACGGGAAATCCTGGCAAAAAAAAAATGAACCGGAAGGATTTGCCATGCTTGCCAACTAAATTTGTCATCCACGTACAACAAAAACTGTCATGCAAATCGATCACAATTGCCATGCCTCTGAGTGGGTGTCAGCTGGTTACGAAGGTTCTAAAATTACACTCTTCATAGATAAATAGTTGTGACCCCTATTGAATTTCCTCCCATCTCTCATTGTTGTCACCAGCTGCATACAATCAGACTGCACCAGTAACCTCGTGCATCCAATGTCTGAAGCTAGGAGTCCATCTCTCAAAGCAAAGGCCTCAGTTGTCGGGGCATCATTGACGAATGCAATTGCTCGTCTATTGGCTGCAATGACATTGCGATAATCAGCTATGATAACCACCCCTATAGCTCCTCGCTCTGTCATTGCAACAAAATCTGCCTGCGGTTTTTCCCATCCGTGCCGTGCAATTCCCGAGCTTGATTTTTTAGCCCTGCTATAGTTCATGCTAGAATAGCGCAATTCCGAGCTTGCTTTTTCTATCCCTGCTATAAGTCATGCAGAGTGCTAGAAGAGCCTGTGCTGATCGGCAATGGCGGAGCTTGAAAGAAAAAGTTGGGCGGGTCAAACTAAAGAAGAGCATTTTTTTTTCGAAATTACGAATCACAAGGACATGTCGCAAGATCGAGTCCTCCATCTTGGTTATGTTGTTGTTGTTCCAACTCAAGCAAGGGCAATACATGGTCTTCCTCTACTTCAGTTATTTCATCTCTTTTTTTCTTTTAAAGACCAAATCAATTCTTCTTTGAGTCTTGATTTTCCTAGCCCATGACTATCTATATTGCAATTTGCATAAGATCATATCACCAAGCTAGAGTAGTATTTATCACTACTTCACTCGTAGGGACTGATCACCGGATGTGTGGAACTGGAAAAAATCTCGTTCAGGTCATGCGCCAGCCTTGGAGACTTGGAGTTGGAGGACAATAGCCTAGCCGCAGGAATGGATGGCCGGCGAACGCACGACGCACTGGTGGCCGGTGAATGATAGGCGGGGCTGCTACGGCCCGACGGACGTCTCCGCGGTAGTTGCTGCGCCAGACAGAGGGCGGCGCGCTCTGGTTGCTCCACGGTGGGCGGCGGCGAGCTTGAAACAGAGGATGGGGAATTGGGGAAGCGCTGCGTCCTGCGTGCCTGAGACGAGGAGACGAGATGTTGTGCCCCGTGCGTGCGTGGGCTCAGTGGTGGGCCATGATGACACATAGTTAATTTTTTTGTCAAATTCCTGGGCGGGCCATGGCCCAGTTCTGCCCCTACAGAGCTCCGCCCCTGCTGATCGGGCCGGCACCTCGAAACTGGTGTTCAAATTTAGTGTTTTGACCTTTTGTGCAAAGTTTAGCCGGATTTGATCTTGGTTTTAAGAAAATTCATGATCTGACCTTTTTCCTACCGTCGGGGTTGCTCACTGCTGAAGGTAGGGTATAATAGCCTACCGCCGAGGACCCTGATGGTAGGGTAACGGCAGGCTCCATTAAGTGGATGTCTGGGATGACGTGGACTAAACCTCCTACCGCCAATATGTCTGCCGGTAGGTTGGTAAACCCTACTGCTCATATG